CCATGTTCAGACATGGGGCAATTTGGACTAATCTTGGACTAACACTAATTTGGACTAACACTCTCAATTGTGCTTTATATTGGCATTTATTATTTAAACTTTATCTCCTTTTACCATTAGATGAAATCATCCCTGGTTCACTTTAAGTTAATATGCATATTCATAAATACACTCAGATTTAATTGTTCATGAGTTCTATATGTGTGAATTTCCTTACTTTATGATAATTTGTCCATAACCTCCAAATCCACACATATTTTTGTGTCACTCATGACAAGTAAAATAGTAAAACAAAAAAATAAAAAGAGGAAATTTGATAGTTGCACTATCAGGTAAGTTGACCTCAAGTTCACTCCTGTTTCTTAGGCAAATAAGTGACCAAATGCAATCTATTTGTCGCCATGGCTTTTTTGTTTTATTTTGTAGTTTTGAGTTTTCAATTTAAATTTTTTGGTGACTTTATTGTACTAAGATTAGTACTTGAGTGCTGCCCAGACTTCCTAAGCACAAAATTCTATGGTATCACTGACAGAGGAAATACATATTACAATATTTACTCGGGTTACTGGTAACAGTCAAATTATCTGTGAGCTCAGTGTGGGAATGTGTAATTCATGGATTAGTTTGAGACATTAAATAATATATTTCTAAAGAAAAGCATACAACCAATAAAGTTATATATTTATCAATTGACAAAAACCCATGTGGTCTAAGATCCATAGGAAACTGGCCCTATATTTCCCCTGGGAGCAATGGTTATATTTGCTACTTTGGCGTTCAGGGTAACTTGATAAAACAAACACCAGGCCTAAAAGCATAGCCACAAGAATGAACAGGAATCATGACATTTCTTGTTACTTTCAAGTTGCTATGACAAAATACCTGACAAGAAGCCACTTAAGGGAGGAAGAGGTGATATTGGCTTACAGTTCAAGGGGTGACAGTTCAGAACAGTGGGGAGGCATGCGGCAGGAACAGGAGATCAGACATTATATCCACAGTCAGGAAGCAAAGAGTAAGCAGGAGGTGGAACCAGGCTACAAAATCTCAAGACCCACATCCAGAGACTCACTTTTTTCCCACCAAGGCTCAACTCTACCTCCTAAAAGTTTCTACAACAATCTCAAATGTTGCCACCAATTGACTGAGTATTTAAACATATGAACCTATGGGGGACATTTCAGAACACAGAATAACAAATACATACACATAGAAATGTAAATATATAAATCATGTCAACAACATGCTGGTGAGCAACATTTTCACAAATATTTAATCAACATATAACAAAATATTAAGAAACAGAAACAGCCCTACATATTTCATCAAGACACCTGTGTCATAAACAGACCCAGTCCACGACTTTGGATTAGGTCACAATGAACTATGGTGCAAACTGTTAATCAACATTCAGATTTACACCGAGCTACCTGGTAATTCATAGGAATGTAAAGACAGTGAAACCATGCTGCCTTTTTCTCCTTTTGTTGTTTCTGCTTTTCTTTGATGCTCATAGTAAATTGGTGTAAACAAATATAGAGAAATAGAACAGGTACTCAAGCTTTCTGAAGTTAATTGTTATGCTCTCTCCAACATTTAGAAATGGGTAGCCATGAACCCTTTCAGAAAATGAAAAAAAAAAACAAATATTATAAAATCATCACATTTTAAGATTCTAAAACTTGGACCTTTGTCGTTTGCACATAACACTGTGGTGAATAATAAGAATACAATGTAAACCAAGTGTCTCACCTCTAGCAACCTAAAAATAACAGTTTGTATAAGAAACACATGCACTAAAGATGTGAGATTTCTACAGATAATACTAATAAATAGAACTAGCTAAAAACCAATAGCTTGGGGCTGGAGAGATGGCTCAGTAATAAATGTACCTGCAGCCAACTCTGCCAGTCTGAGTCCAATCCAGTACCCACATAGTGGAAGAAAAAAATTAATGCCCTCACGTTGTCATCTAATATCCACATGGATGTTGTGACACACACACACACACACACACACACACACACACACACACACACACACACACACACACGCCAGCAGGGCTGCATAATGGAATGATTTGGCCATGGGCATGGTTACCAGGTGTTTTAAAGGGTCTACACTTGGCTGAACATTGTGCTTTGACCTTGAAAGGGGGAGGTCTTTGTCTTGCCCTTTGGTATTATATAAAAAGCCCTTTGGAATAAACCTTGAGGTGACTGGGTATTGACCCAGGGCCCTCCTGAAGGTATTCTGTGTCTCTGTCTTTCTTATTTCCCATTTTTTCTATCTAAGTCTTCCTCATTCCTCTCTCCTCCCCCCAAGAACCCGTTGAAAGGTGGAAGCTGGACTCCAACAGACTCCCATAACACACAAAATGTAAATTAAAAAAAATAGCTCAAATACTCAAGAAAAGAGATGTAAGTTTCTCCCTGAGTTTCTGCCATTATTGGGAAGGAAGCCAGGCTTTCTATTGTATATTGTATATGTTTAAAAATATACATTATTAAAATTTATTAAAAATAAATATTTAAAATATCACCTCCATAAAATAATCATGATACACAAACATTTAAACACAGGAAACAGTAAGAAATGACAGTGAGCAGCGAGACAGACATGATTGTTATAGTCACTCCATTTAGCTGGTGTTTGGTGGTGACTCTAATATCTCAATTATGGTTTCAACACTAGTTCTTTATCATGGCTTCTTCTAGAAAAAAGGTGAAAATTCCAAAGAAAGAGAGAGAAAAGAAAAATAATATGAAGATCAAGGAACAGAGTCAGCAGAAAAAAACACCGGATGGGTCCAACTGCAGAGTAAGTTCTATTACAGCAGAGGAAACGCCCCAGTTGACTGAAGAGGCAGTTTTACCCCGGAAACCGGTCTGTCAATCACTCATCATCAGTATGGCTCCTGCTACTGAGACTGGGGAAGAGGTTCTGACTATTGAAGTCAAAGAAAAGGCTAAGCAGTAAGTGTTTGATTATCTTTAGATAGAATCTAGTTCAATCCCTAAGAGATGGTAACCAGGATTGTAGCTTAAATTAATGAAGGAAACTAACCTCACCAGGACCTGTGGAAACTCCAGGCAAATCCACAGCTTCTCTTTCAGGACTTTTCTGACAATGGTTTTATTCATTGACCATCCCTAGTTTCCACTGTCACCAGCTTCGAGCAATTGCTATTTCTTTTAAATGTCTATAGTAGTTATTTTTCCTCTTCTCTCCTGATGATGTTTCCTTGTTCTCCTTTGATAAACTTGATTTTGATGTTACTATGATTTACTGTCCTTTCTGCGTACATTTTTGTGCTATGTTATATCTGGCACAGCACTGTTAATATTGGCCAAATGTCCCAGGTAGACTCATCTTACCTCTTATGTATAGTGGAAGGGTGTGAATTTTTTAACAAAATAGGTCATGAATCAAATGGTTTCTATTTAAACAAGGATGGTGAGTCCCTAAATCTAGCAGCTGACATTAAAATGGGCTGATGTCATGGAACCTTTTGAATAAGAACTCTGATTTTCACTCAAGGCCAATATCTGTTAGCAAGATTAACAAACCTACAGAGACAAAAAGCCAAATCAAAAGCTAAGTTCCCTCACTTTAGCAACCAGTCTACAGCCTCTTAGAGACTCACCCCAGTGACTTACAATGTCTTATACAAACTTTCGGAGTCTAACTCACCTGACCAACGGTGCACTTCTCAATCAGCCCATTTCAAGAAAGACAACTTGAGTCAAAAAAATTACTACAACAGAACAAAATAGTGGGGTGCTCACCTATCTATCTAGAATAAGACTTCTCACAGATGGCACACAAGATAAAATACAAGATCCCCCTTTCCTGTTGTAAAAAGAAGTCTCGCAGAGGCACAATCCTTTTCTAAGCACTTGCCCGCTGCTCCTCTTACATTTTAAGACATTCTCACTTGGACTTTCTATTCTTTTTACTGGTGTCACCAGCCTTGCACATGCTACTTCACATGGCAAAACCCATTGGCAGCATCACATTGTGGCAAAATCAGATGGCAGCAACATGCTGGAAAAAGTGGACCCCTTTCCAAATAAATTTCAATGTTTGCCTTCATACTAACTTAAAAGGAGCACTCCTCCGGCCCAACAGGCAGAGTGGAGTCAAACTGTTTCCATCCTGATGCAGGCTAATGTAACATTTTCCAGACTCTTCCTTAAGCACTGGCTTCACTCAAAAGGTACCTGACTGGAATGTCTTGTTGTTTTAAGCTATAGTTCTAAGTAATAAGATTAGGAGGGCATACAGTACACATCAGATTGACAGTTCCTCACAATTTTCGGGATCTACATGTACAACTGTTTACAAAACCTTCAGGTTAATTAAGTGCCCTTCAGGAAGTTGTCTTCAGACTTCAGTTAGCACTAAGACAATTACCAAAGTTGCATGCTGGTAAGAGGCCAAAATTACCAGGCTAGTATTGAAAGTAATAATATACACAAAATTTCATTCTAGTGAATGCCATTAGTATGTAATGTTGAGTTCTTTGTAATATGGCTGCTTCCAAGTCCCAGAAGATGGCTATTGTAACAGCACTCTGCAAAGAAAGTTTTGACAAATTAAATTTGCTCAAAACTATACAATATGGATGGATTTAACATGCTTTGTGAAAATCAAAAGTTGTTTTTTCAAAGGTATTGTTTGATCAATTTTTACAAAAGGCTGATTGATATTTTTCATAATTGAAGAGAATATAAACAATTTTTTAAATAGCAGTTTTAATATTATGAACAAAAGGTCCTGAAAAGAAGCTGCGCCTATAAAAACTAAATGATGCTATTATTTAACCTATAAAAGCTAAATAATCATTAAAAATTCAATGATTGTGGAGTGGTTGGAAGGTTGCACATCTAGATCCTAATCACAAATTTTCTTGAGCTGCCTTTAGCCTCCTCCATACCCATTCATTACCCACCTCTGGGAATGACCTAATATCCTTGTATTAGGTGAATCCCTTTGGAATGTATGAACAGGCTTTTTCGCTTCGACAAGCCCAAACGCCAAGAATGTCATTTGATAGCATCTGGAAACTTCAACAGAGATTTCCCACTTATGTGGTAACCAAAGTACCTTACATACTCACCAGCACATGTGAAAAGTGTGTTGACTGACAAGTTTCCTTGTTCTGTTGCCATAAAAACTTCATGCTGCTGCCACCTTTGAAAATGGAATTTGGGGTGAACTATATCTATGGCCTGGGACCTCATATTTGCCTCCAGAATAAACCATCTCTTACTCTTTCAATGGGAGACTTGTGTTTTTGCATCAGCAATATGTAGTAGTTAGCATATTTAATGGTGATTTTGAAACCAGAAAGAAAGAATCTGATAACAAAAAATAAACAAAAGGAAAACATGGTGAGCTTGTATACACTTTCACTCCTTTTGACTTTTTCAAAAGAAAATCCAAATACCCCATTGCAGCTCATGCTCTTCTGTTTTTGCTTACTCATCCTCTCATATTTTCCCTTTTTCAGATAATACCATCTTTTTATTTGCAATCAGTAACACTAAGTTTTAAGAATAATCAGTAGCATTAATCGATGGCTCTGTAATTTCTTATATGGTGGTACTGGTGAAGGACAGAAAAACCAGGAACCTATGAAAAGTAGAAGAAGAAACCCCTCACTTAGGAGTCTGATTGAAACCTCTGACCAGGGTCTAGAGTGATGGTTCACAGTTAAGAGCACTTGATGCTCTTCTGAAGGACCTGGGTTCAATTACCAGTACCCTTATGGTGGCTACAACCAACTATAACAAAACCAAAAATCTTCAGACCAGCTGAGAAGGAAGAATTCTAGTAAAATTAATATTTTCTGGGAAGGTTGTCCACATAGAAGCTTTTAGGCTTTTTTTTTAGAAGTTCAAGTATTCAAAGTTGAAAAATTTGCCAAACACTTTGCAGCTGGTGAGACATAATAACCCTTTCATATTGAGATGGTTTATGATAAAACAGCAATGGCCTAGGCATAGGCCTAAAGGTAGATGATCATGGGTAGGGTCTCATTCCTTCCCCATGCATTTTCTGGGCCTCTCATACAAAGCTGTCAACCTAGTTTGCAATGCAGAGATCCCACTTTGAGGCTGGTAAGATTGCTCAATGGGTAAAAGTGTTTGCCATGCAAGCCTGATGACCTGGACTTAAACCCACAATAAAAGGACAAAACTAATTTTGAAATCTGTTCCCTGACCTCTGCGTATTTACTGTGGCATGCATGAGTGCATTCCCTTCCCCCATCATACAATAAAAATATATTAAATAATTTAAGTAAAAATACATTGTACATTCTTGCATCCCTGTGATCTAGAATTTACCTTATCAGTTGTAACCCTATAAGGTGTCCCCTCAGGAACTACCCTGTGATCTCATTTAGGTTTCTTAGCAACACCTTGAAAATAACAGCTTAAACCCCAGCAAATTCTGTAGGACTGTTAAAAACACAGTGAAGTACAACTCTCCTAGAGAAGCCTATGCCCATGCTCTGGGGTGTGCCCTTCTTTCTAAGTACCTCTCTTTCTCTTGACCCTTGTGTTTAATTCTATATTAAATTATTATTTTTATTAAACCCAACCCTGCTTCTTACTGCCTAGTTCTGAAATTCAGCATCCAAGCCAGCAGTGTTGAGTTTGCCTGAGTCAAGGTCCTTAACATATGAAGGTAACTGCTCAGGCAGCTGAGTACTGTGGAGCTGTGGCTCTGTTCTCTTTGCCACTCCCTATTCCATACTTAAAATATTTCTAATTTTGCTTTCTTTTTCAGTTCCACAATTAACATCCAGCATGTATTTTTTGTTCAATCCAAACAAAGACTCACTGTTCACCAAAAGTCAGTTCTTCCACTGGTCTAACTTCTAGGTCCTCTTTCCATAGCATTTTTCTAAAACACCATTTTTCAGCATTTTACTTCCTCACTTGGGTATTGTATTAGTTAGGCTTTTTAAAGAAAGAAAACCAGTAGATTTTTGAATTCAGAATGAATTACATTGTCGATTCTCTTGCTTCTCAAGCTTTTGGGCTCAGAGTAGACTCCTAAAAGTAGCTTTCTGTGGGGGCCATAGAATAAACAGCAGATGACAGCTAATATTCAACTGCTTGACCCACCAGATGAATAACTGTCTGATGGGGAGCCACACTAGACAAAGACCATGGGGTTACTGGCTGTGGATACCATTTGTTTCTGTCTGAAATTTTCTCACATGCCACCATAATTCCTCCCTAAAAAGAACAGCTGTGGGGTTCTTTCCACAGCTCATTGGTAGTGTGTTTTATACTTTCTGGGTACACAAATATCTGTGGATGATCAGGAAGATGATTTCTTTTTAAGCTGTATAATTTTGATGAATAGAAACAATACTGGGATATTTTTCATAGCTCAGACTGACATTGGAAAATAACAAATTCTCAGTTACAAAGATAGTTTTTTATACCATTAGCTGATTTAAGACATCAAAACAAATTTAAAGCAGACAAGTTGCCCCTGCATATGAATTGCACAATGACAGATTCCCAGGTGTCTGTTGAATCAAGGTCAGACATGAAGCAACTTTAGTGTCAGCTCTTCACTTGCAAAAGTCTGGCTGGTAACATTAAAGACATAAGTCCCTTCATAGATTCTCTCAACAATTGACTCTCTGCACATACCCCTAACATCAGTTTTATGATGCAGGACTCAAGTCAACTAACTGTTTATTGTTTAGGTCCTGAATTTCAATGTCACTCTCAGTTGAGAAATACTGGGTGCTCAGCCTATGTGACTCCTGACTTCGCTTTACAGACTGCACGTTAGGGAACTTGGCTGACAGTCAAGTGTCATCATGGTCACTCACTGGCCAGTCCAGGTGACATCCCAAGCCTGAGAAAAATCATGTGATTTCTCATGTGTTATCAGAATGACTCTGTTTCTTGTTTACTCAAGAAATATTATGTTGGCTCTTCGCCGCTCTGCCAGAGGGGCAGGTGCGGAGGGGCTCCCGGTCCGGCCGCCGCCGCCCGCCCCGGGCCGGGGCTCCCCCTAGCGCCGTGAGGAGCCGTGGGCGGCTGAGAAGCAGCGCGGCGGAGTGCCCGATCTCGCGGCGGATAGAAGGACAAGGACAGAATCACCAGCACTGGCTGAAGATGCCCAGCCTACAGAATCTGAGAAGGAAATATATAATCAGGTGAATGTAGCGTTAAAAGATGCAGAAGGCATCTTGGAGGACTTGCAGTCATACAGAGGAGCTGGCCATGAAATACGAGAGGCAATCCAGCATCCAGCAGATGAGAAGTTGCAAGAGAAGGCATGGGGTGCAGTTGTGCCACTAGTAGGCAAATTAAAGAAGTTTTATGAATTTTCTCAGAGGCTAGAAGCAGCATTAAGAGGTCTTCTGGGAGCCTTGACTAGTACACCATACTCTCCCACCCAGCACCTAGAGCGAGAGCAGGCTCTTGCTAAACAGTTTGCAGAGATTCTTCACTTCACACTCTGGTTTGATGAACTCAAGATGACAAATCCTGCCATACAGAATGTCTTCAGCTACTACAGGAGAACGTTGAGTCGGATGAGAATTAATAATGTCCTGGCAGAAGGAGAAAATGAAGTAAATAATGAATTGGCAAATCGAATGTCTTTGTTTTATGCTGAGGCCACCCCAATGCTGAAAACCTTAAGTGATGCAACAACAAAATTTGTATCAGAGAATAAAAATTTACCAATAGAAAATACCACAGATTGTTTAAGCACCATGGCGAGTGTATGCAGAGTCATGCTGGAGACACCGGAATACAGAAGCAGATTTACCAATGAAGAGACAGTATCATTCTGCTTGAGGGTAATGGTGGGTGTCATAATACTCTATGACCACGTCCATCCAGTGGGAGCATTTGCCAAAACTTCTAAAATTGATATGAAAGGTTGTATCAAAGTTCTTAAGGACCAACCTCCTAATAGTGTAGAAGGTCTTCTCAATGCTCTCAGGTACACGACAAAACATTTGAATGATGAGACTACCTCCAAGCAAATTAGGTCCATGCTGCAGTAAGCGCTGTGGAGCAAGCCCCTGCTGCAGATGGAGCACAACAGTGTTCTTCAGTGACCGAGAATGCAGTCTTTAGTGATTGCCATTAAATCTCCTTATTCTTGCTTTGGTTTCTTTCCTCTGTTCCTCTTCCCACTTTTTTAATCATGTTCTTGTTCTTAAGACTTCTTTTCTGTGCCAAAATCAGTAAAGTTATACTTTGAAAGGGATTTTGTCCTTTCAAAACAGGCCATCTAAGGCAGCTAATTATGCATTGCATTGAGGTCTCTACTGAGAAAAGTTCTGTGACTTGAACTAAATATTTTTAAATGTGGATTTTTTTTGAAAACTAATATTTAATATTGCTTCTTCTGCATGGCAAAACTGCCTATTCTGCTATTTAAAACCCTCATGAATTTATTTTCTACTGCCGCTTTTTCATGTCCAGCCAAAATGAAATGTTTAAATTAACTGTGTTGTACAAATGGTACCCAACACAAACCTTTTTTAAATTAGTAAGACTTTTGTTTAAAGTTTTAAGTTTGCATTTTGACTTTTTTTTTGGTGAGGATGTATGTTGTGTGTTTAACCTTTATTAACTAACGTTAAAAACTGTGATGTGTGCGTAGACTATTACGTATGCATGTTCATGTTCAAGAATGGCTGTTGATAAAATAAAAATCAGCTTCCTTTTTCTAAAAAAAAAAAAAAAAAAGAAAGAAATATTATGTGACCCTCAAAATGTAACTCATATATTTGTCCAGAGTTTTTTCTATGAGAGATCTATGTAGATAGACCTATGTAGAGGAGAGATGTGTAGCTGTGTAGAAGAGAGAGATGTAGCTGTATAGAGATGTGTTACTGTGTCATAGAGAGATGTAGCTGTATAGAGATGGATAGCTGTATAGAGATGTTTAGCTGTGCAGAAGAGAGATGTAGCTGTGTGGAGACAGGTAAGTTTTCAGAGAAGATTTTTCAAGTTGAAGTAAAAGAGAAAGTTACCATCAGAACACGTGTGTTTCCTTTATTACCCCTCAGATAGAAAAGATTAACCCTCACCACATTCATGGATTTTTTTTGCATACTCTAAGCTCCTGAAGGCTGGCTCTCCAGGCAACAATAGCTTTCCTGGGCTTTTGGATTGGAAAGGGAAGGTTTGAGGCTTAGTCTCCATAATTATGCGAGCCAGTTTTTGATAATAAACATTTACATAGATTATGTAAGACATCTATTATATATTTTAATATAGACATTTACATATGTTCCATATAATATATAAGTCCATCTGTGATCTTTAATCTGCAAGACAGAAATCCAGGGCTTGAAAGATGGCTCAGTGGTTAAGAGTACTTGCTCATCTTGCAGAGGACCCAGATTCTGTTCTTAGCATTCACATAGTAATTCAAAAAAATTCCGGGTTCAGGGGATCAGATGCCTTCTTCTGGTCTTCTCAGACACTGCATGCACATGGTGCACATATATACATGCAAATACATATACATATAAATTATTTTCTTCTTTTAAAGACAGAGACCCAAGAAAGCTGATAGCCAAAAGCCTAAGTACCAGGAAAGCAGATGGTATTAATTTTCAGACACCCCAGGAGATGATGACACTAGCTCAAGCTGTCAGGCAAAGAGTGAATTCTCCCTCCATCCACCTTTTTTGTTCTACTTAGGCCCTCAACAGACTAGATGACACTTTCCCATATAGTGAGGGCAATTTGTATCATTCTGTCAACCAATTCCAATGCAGACATTATCCACACACACCCTTGAAAAGACAACTGGAAATGTCTTGTCTCCTATCTGGGCACCTTGTTGACTGTTAAGTTGACATGAAAGTAAGTACAGGGACTAATACAAGACAAGTAAGAGACAGTGGCAGCAGAGACAACATTCCATGCTGCCACTCACCACAGCAGCACAAGGACTTCTCTCCAAAACAGGAACCTCCACTGAATTTTCTGTGTCACTACAATTGTGATCCTTCAACTATCTAAGTTATGTTGTTTAAAAGGTGCAACTTATGGAGCCTGAGAAATGGGTCAGGGGTTAAGAGCACTTGCTGTTCTTTCAGAGGACAGAAATGTATTCCCAGCACCCACATAGCAGCTCACAATCATCTGTAACTCTTGTTCTATGGGATTCAATATCTTCTTTTGACTGCGATGGGCACCAGGTACACAAGTGCTATACATATATACATGCAGGAAAAAATACTCATATACATTAAATAAAAATAAATACACATGAGTGGGGGTAATGAAAGGCAAGGGTTGAGGGAAAGAGAGCTTGGGGGAGCAGGAGATCCCAGCTAGATCAACAACAGAGAGGGGGAACAAGGAATAGGAGACCATGGTAAATGAAGACCACATGAGAATAGGAAGAAGCAAAGTGCTAGAGAGGCCCACAGAAATCCACAAAGATACCCACACAACAGACTGCTGGCAATGGTTGATAGACAGCCCGATCTGACCTAGTCTGGTGATGGGATGACCAAACACCCTAATTGTTGTGCTAGAAACCTCATCCAACTACTGAGGGATCTGGATGCAGAGATCCATGACTAGGCCCTGGGTGGATCTCTGGGAGTCCAATTAGCGAGAATGAGGAGGGTTTATATGAGCGAGAATTGTTGAGACCAAGGTTGGATAAAGCACAGGGACAAATAGCCAAATGAATGGAAACACATGAACTATGAACCAATGGCTGAGCGGTCCCCACTGGATCAGGCCCTCCGAATGGGTGAGACAGTTGATTGGCTTGATCTGTTTGGGAGGCATCCAGGCAGTGGGACCAGATCTTGTGCTCATTGCATGAGTTGGCTGTTTGAAACCTGGGGCCTATGCAGGATTGTTTGGCTCGGCCTGGGAGGAGGGGACTAGACCTACCTGGACTGAGTCTACCAGGTTGACCTCAGTCTGTGGGGAAGGCTTTGCCCTGGAGGAGATGGGAATGGGGGGGGGTTGGGGGGAAGGTGAGGGGGACGGGAGGGGGGAGAACAAGGGAATCCGTGGCTGATATGTAGAACTGAATTGTATTGCAAAATAAATTAAAAATAAATAAATAAATAAATAAATAAATAAATAAATAAATAAATACAAAAAATGTAAACTGTGACTTATAACACAGTTTAAAGATTAAAGAATTTCCCTTTTCACAGTTTTATGATGTACAGTGTGTATGTTTAGATTTAGGACTAAGAGAGAGGAGCTAAAACTCAAGCTTATAAATCATTTATGTCCTAAGTCAGCACAGTTTGTTTACTGTCGCTTATGGTGTTGTTTGAGATGTCTTTAGGAAAGCACATATCATTTCTGCAGGGAATTTTGGCTTTATCAGTGAAGTCTGGTGTTTCCTGACTCTATGAGCAGGAAAGGCAAAATCAGATGCCTGGATGAAGGGCCTCTTTTCTTTCCTGACCCTTCCCATGTCCCTTTAATTTTCTGTCTTTCTATACTGCATCTCTCATACCACTTACATATTAGTTAGTTATGCTAATTTAATTAACAGGATCACAAGCATACCCTTCACTTGAGCTAATCCCCTTGATTTTTATGGAACTACCACCTGGGCTGTTTCCTCTGGCCTTTGTCCACACTGCCTTTGTCTCTTTCATCACTATGAATATCTTATGCTTCCAAATATGGCCACATACGCTCTCTTAGAACTGCCTTTCCAAACCTGTGATGATTCTATTTCAAGGGATTATCTTCTGCACTTTCAGGAACTGCTACACAATACAACACTCTGTTTATCATGTGGTACCCCATAAAGTTCTGCACTTGCTATATCAACCAAAAAAGTTTTGTTTGTTTGTTTGTTTGTTTGTCTAACTCAATGCTTAAAATTAAAGGAAAACCACAGTAGCATTTTTGTTCTGTTTTACTTTTCTCAGACAAGATAACTGACTAATGAAAAGCAATTGAGTAAATAGGAGTTTTGAAATAAACATGAAATTCCTTGTCCAGTGCCCCAAGCCTCCTCAGATGAGCTCTATGGCTGCTATCACTAACAGGCCTCAGTGATACTGTTGAGACTTGGTTTTTAAGATAGAACCTCATGTGTCTGAGACTGTCCTGGAAATCACTATATAGCCAATGATTACCTTGATCTTCTGATCCTCCTGATTCTACCTCCCTAATTCTAGGATTACAGGCATGTGTCACTAAGCCCAGTTTTATGTGATGCTGGGATTTAAACTCAGACTTCATGCATGTTAAGCAAGCACTGTATTGAACTATATCCCCAGCTTCATTATCTCTGAGATTTTCACTAATACAATCCAGTTTATGATACAGACAGCCCTCCAAGCCTTAGTGCTCTACCCTCTTGAGGTTTGCATCAACTGAGAATTTATAAATTCCCCAATAGCTATTGCCTAATTCTCTTCAGGGTGGAAGGTTTATCTTTCAGTGGTCTATTTGAAGTCTCACTGCTATGGACAAAGACTTCCCACTGCTTTTGATGCCAAACAACCATCAAACACTATCCCCAGTCTCCCAAAGGTCTTGTTGCCTACTGCTAGGTATCAATACTCACAACGTGTAGCTAGTTTTCCTGCCTGGCCCACAGTCAGGGCAAATCTCTCTCACCTGCCAGTCCCACAGCCGTCAGACCCAACCAAGTAAACACAGAGACTTATATTGGTTACAAACTGTATGGCTGTGGCAGGCTTCTTGCTAACTGTTCTTACAGCTTAAATTAATCCATTTCCATTAATCTATACCTCGCCACATGGCTCGTGGCTTACCGGCATCTTCACATGCAGCTTGTCATCATGGCAGCTGGCAGTGTCTCTCTGACTCAGCCTTCCACTTCTCTCAATTCTCCTCTCTGTTAGTCCCGCCTATACTTCCTGCCTGGCCACTGACCAATCAGTGATTTATTCATTGACCAATCAACAACACATTTGACATACAGACCATCCCACAGCAACAACGTAGTATGTATGTTATATTGCCTATAGAAATATGTGGACCACCAGGCAGTGGTGGCGCACGCCTTTAATCCCAGCACTCGGGAGGCAGAGCCAGGCGAATCTCTGTGAGTTCGAGGCCAGCCTGGTCTACAAAGTGTGTTCCAGGAAAGACACAAAACTACACAGAGAAACCCTGTCTCAAAAAAAAAAAAAAAAAAAAAAAAAAAAAAGAAAAGAAAAAAAGAAAGAAATATGTGGACCTTTCTAGTAGCTATACTAAAGAAAATGTCTATCCCCATCACAGAAGCCATTCATTGCTAAAGATCCTTAGGGAGCGATGGGGGTATCATGAGCCTTTCGTCCTTCCATGACAAGATGCTGATAGGACCAATCTTGTGTAGATCCTGTGTGGGTAATCACAGAACTATTCTTCAAGAGTGACAAACAAGTCCACGTAATGTCCAGAAAACAGCATTCCACAACACTCCATCCTTTCCTCCAACTCTCGAATGCTTTCTATCCTGTCTTCTGTGATATTCTCTGAACCTTGTGGGGGGGGGTGCGGGGGGGGGGGGGGGGGGGGGAGCATAGACATCCTATTT